GGTTTGCTGGTTGGTATTTTTTCACGTGAAGAGCACATGAGAGAGCCTGACTTCCGTCACTGACTCGATCAATTTCCCTTCTCAACCTCTCTCTTTTAGTCTTTTCTTAGTTTAGTGCGCTCTTCCCAAGAGATCGTCCCTTCTCCAAATTCAATAGAGCTGAACCGCTGACGCCCCCAAATTGGTCGTCTAAATCATCTCAATCCTTACTAGTCGGTCTTAGGCCTCCATGGACAATCGTTCAGGCGCCATTTCAACGCCGAACGATTCGTCCGTCTCCTCACTCCGAAACACGGCCAACACGGCCAACAGCGGCAAACTTCAGACTACCTCGACCCTCCCCGCTCCTCCATCCGGTTATCCTTCGACAAAGAATGTCCCTACCTCCATGATGGATGTTGATAACACCACAGTAGCGGAGGATCGTTCACGTCGAGCTACTAGTGTTCTCTCCATGGATGATATCGAGGCGGCGCAGGCCCTGGAGGGGCTCCGTACGGGTATGCCGTTTTGGTCCTGCTTCGTTTCATCTGGGAGCCAGCCTCCTGAGATTGCTTAAGTATGCTAATCGAGAGTCATCCCAGAATACGGTCAACCTCCTCGAAACGTGTCGCAACAAACCTCCAGTTCTGATTCCAAATCGCAACCCGAACCCCTCTTATCATTGCTCACCTCGACTCATCCTCTGATATCCTCCGCGATTAACGGATCCGTCTCGGCGTACACCAGCTCGAAATCATACTCACCTCGCTTCAAATCGGGCGCCGAGTTCCTCGAACGCAACATTGGCTCCCCTGTCGCCAACACCGTTGGTTCGGTTGGCCGCAAAACCGGAGTCGAGAGTGGCCTTCGATGGGCGCTGCAGCGTCGTGGATCCGGCTCAAATGATCCCAAACGATCTAAGCGTCGCAAAGTGAGCGGAGACAAACACCCAACAGAAGTAGACTTGGAAAAGGGCTCTGATGAAACCACGTCGTCTCGCCGCGGGCGTAGCTCTTCTGACCTGTCCATGGGCGAGCCCCTCCCGCCATATGACGATCAGACGTCACCCAGCTACGAGGAGGTTGGTCGGGAAAATTCTTCGCGACCGAACCCCACGTGGCAAAGTCGATTGGTGATCTCCACCTCGGGATTGGGTGTTGCCATGAGCGAGGAGTCCCTCCGCAGCTTGCAGTATTGTTTGACCTGGTTGCGATGGGCAAACGGACGGCTAGGCAAAGCCATCGTGGCCTTGCAGGGCGCTCTGAAGGAATGGGACAATGCCAAGAAGAATAATGATACTACCCAGGATACCTCTTTGCTGTCCCAGCGTATCCAGGCCGTCCGGGAGGACGTCTTGTCGACCTTGAAGCAGGTTGTAGACGTCGTCTCCAAGTATGCCGGAGGTGCATTGCCGGAGAATGCCCGAAACTTAGTCCGCCGACACCTCACTTCCCTACCGCATCGGTTCCAGGTCGCTTCGACGTCCAACCCTCCACCCGATTCGAGTGCGGCATCCTCTGACGCCACAATCGGCGCTCATCGCATCTTAGTTCTTGCGCAGGAAGGCCTAGACATGATGTCGCAGGTGAGCGGAGTAGTGAATGATACTCTCGTCAGCGCGGAGCTTTGGTGCGAGCGGTTGGGCAAGAAGCGGCCCGACAGCAAACCCCAGAACGAAGCTAAACAGCCCGAGTCGCACAATGCGTCGTTTCCGCCTGATGTGAAGCAGCCTATTCGTGAGCCTTCCCAAGATGTTCCAATGACTGGGACAGACGAGAAGGTATAGACATGGGAAGCAATCAATTTCATATGGCCTCACAGTTATTGCTCAGCGGGCACTGAGAAATGCGCTGCCTACTATCGGGCTGGCGAGGCTATGGTTGGTTCAAGCTCGCGATTCACCAGATCTTACTATTTGGGATGGTACATATGACGTTGAGAACACGTCCTATTGAAACATCTCGGATCAGTCGTTTGTTTAACTTCCTTTCGGACTTTCTTTCGTTTTCACTCTTTCTTTACCTTTCTTTCTTTTCCCCTGTAATGTTTGTTTGTTGATGTCCTCATTTGATATCCGTATTACTTGTTGAGTGTGAGGAAATAGTTGGCGTTCTCGGATTCCGGATACCTTTCTATCTGATTTTACACTTGTTCTTCTCTATGTCTCTTCAATATCACGTACCAAGGGTCCCTCCTTGACAGCTGTGCTTATGCTGATCGAGTTTCTAGTTGGTATACTCCAGTCAAGCTAACATGTCCTGTGTTGAGCCTTCTACGGTAGAGTACATTCATCCCCTGATCATTTCACCACGGCGAGTCCAGTGTCACCTCTCGCAGTATTCCCCGCCCCCAGTAGATGTTCACCTTTTGCACCTTGCATTTCTGGTGCGCCAGACGTAGCTGTACGAACTGGAACTGTCTCTGCTTTTCACGTTCCTTCATGATCTTCCTCCACTTGAACTTCGATCGCTGCACCTGCCTCTGTCGACTCGGTTCCCACTTTCTCCACAAACTCTCTTCGTTCTCCATCAACTCGCAGTCCTCAGGCCACGGTACTTTATCCGGTATGCTGAAGTCAGGTATTTGCAACTCTGAATTCCCTGCCGAGCGCTCGATCTCTTCGTATTTCCTCAACCCCCACATCCATTTCTTCAGTTCATCACGGTCATCGTTGTCGCGACAAAGACTCAACATTCCCCGGTGAGACATGTAATGCACATGAATGTGATAGTCAACATGATACCGAGCAAGCTCCTTATCCCTGTTAGGATCTTGGGAGATGAATCGATCTATTCGTTCCTCGTAAAGCTCGATCTGAGAGGGCGTCATTAATCGTTCGTACCCGGACGTAAAGGCTGATGTGGGTGCTGTGAGGAGGGATTCTTCCTCAATGCCGGCTGCGACTACTGTCCCTAGGGGAGATTCCTCACGCCAGGCGCGTCTTTCAGTAGCCAATGAACCGTCTTCGTCTAGGTCATCTATCTCCGAGCCATGGTCTCCACCGGATGTTGGGTTCGGTGGATCGAACTTGCAGGTAGTGCACTTTAGGGCTTCTTGTATTGCGATATTCTGCTCGTGTTAGTGACATCTCTGTGTATCTCATTTCGAAGACAAGATACATACCATTGTTATTTGTTCTAGGAGCCTCATATTGGGAGTTTCTGTCTTGACTCTTGATCTTCTGTTCTTATGTCGGTCGCTGGTCGGCTGACGCTGCATGCGTGTACGCGGTGTTGGACGTCTATTGCGATATGGGATCGTCATCTCCTATCTTTCTACAAAACACACTGGGTAGGGGAAAATAAATAGAAAATAAAATAGAATAAAATACATAAAAGACAGCGATTCCACCTCTCTATAACTATTCTCGCTCATGATCTTTGCCAGACCGACAATGCCTATGACGTCTGTCAAGAATTCGAGATCTACATCAAATGGCCCCCCACCTGACTTTGTTCCTCAATGCCCGTGACCCTATCACTGGGTTGGGGTGAAACGGGATAAGCGATTACATTTCTTTCAGCTATTGTCAGACTCTTCAAACATACTGGTTTTAGTGTTACTGTTACTATGTTATTGTTGAATTGTTTCTGTATTGTCTGCGTTGTTGATCGTCAGCAGGGGGCTTTTGTGTTCCAGATCTACATACATTGAATCTCGGAAATCATGACATGCATTACATTACATTGCATCTGATAACCTAAAACACCAGTATATTCGATAGACCATAGAAGAATACCTCAATGATCAAACTGAATGGAATTATCGCATAACAGACCGATATTCTCAATCAGGAGATCTAACCCTCTCTCTCTCTCTATAGTAATTCTCCGAGTACTATACATACTCCTCTGTATGGAAGTACATACACCCTCGTCCACCAACAAGCGGAATATACTCAACTCTTCCAATCTCATACAAAATAAAGACCTTACAATCCCATAGAAAAAGATTATCTGCTAGAGATAAGAAAAAGAACCAATATCAAAATCAACAAAGACATCCACAGCCTCATGGCCGAACCCATGGTCATCCTCTACCCAGCAACCTGTCTCACCTTCACAGCCATATTCCTTGTTTCCCTCAATCGAGAATCGATTATCTATGGTCTAATCCGCTGTGCTCAACTTATCCATCTCGGAAACGACTATATCGAACTCCATATTCAAACCGACGACACCGAATTCGAGTCCGAACTCAAAGATCTCGAAGATCAATGGTACGCCCCCTCCCGCCCCAAATAAACTAAATCCAAAGCCCAAAAAAAAAAAAAAAAAAAAACAAAAAAGAATAGAATAAAAGAAAGCAAGAAGACCAACAAAACGCACAGGCCCACCCCACGATCCCCAAGCGACAACAGCTACTCCACCACCCCCTCCTACCCATCATTAATATCAACCGACGATCCGAACTTCCCCGCATCGAGCCCCAGAACCCCGCTGGGGAGGTACTTCGATCGGGAAACAGGGGCAATCTACCCACAGGTCCTGGAGCCGCCGACACCGTCGTGGGAAGTGGAGTTGAGGATGCGGATTGAGAGGGGGGTTGGGTTAGAGGCGTCTTGGGATCGTGCGGTTGATTGTATGGTGGGGTTGTTTGTGCGGTTGCATGTTTAGTACAGTACTTCGTTTCCTTCTATTTTTTTAAACTGGGTCTTTCGCGGTTGAGTGGTTGATTGAGGAGTTTATCGGTCGGTAGGGTTACTTTGCTTTTGTATTTATGGAATGATATAATATGGCTTCGTTCTTCGGATGAATTTCTAGGAACTGTAATGAGGGAGTTTATAAGCATGATAGATCGAGAATAGACCATTCGCGGGTGACTGAGTAATTATTACAATACCCCAGTACTTCTGGATTGAATTAGGCATACTCTAGCTTATCACTCCAGAATAAAGACCGACTATGCCTCCCATCCACACATCCATTTCTATGGGGTGCTTAACTGGATATAACCCCATTAATCCTCAGATAATCTAGTAACAAGGCCAGGAGTCCCAGTAGCAATCTTACAATAACGAGATTACTCAAGTGACACTATTCCTGAAAACATAGATACAAACCTCATTAATATAAAGCGAAGAGAGTCAGCATAGATGATCTCAGCATCCATTATATTGTACAATTCCCAGTGGCGCTTCGTGGCCCGGACTATGGGCATTGAATCCAATTGGCATGTATACGACCATCTCTACCCTCGTTGGTTGTCCGGTTTTATCCCCAGTCTGGGTGTATATAAGTACAATACCTGTCATCTTGCTAAAGATACGAATATATTAAATTTCCCATATCGTCATTGGTAGACTGAAGCTCTTGAACAGCTCGTCAGGAAGCAATGGTCATTGTTTTGGTCAAGACAAATAATCCACCTATCCTCCGCTCCCTAAATAGCCCTAACTGGTATCCTACCCTAGTCTCGGTATACCTCCCTCAACCGCATGGTGGTTTTGGGCGCTTGGGATTGAAAGGATTTACGAGTGGAATGTGTAGCTTGCATTTATGTAAATATCTTGCTGGAGTTTCACTGACTACTTGTGGGGGGGATGCATATGGGGGTAATGGTTGATTTATTTTAGTGGTAATACAACGGGTCTCAATTGGATTATTCGAATAGAGGAAAGTAAGTTAACTCTTAGTACTTCGTTACTTGCTTGGTCGGTAGGTAAACTTGTTAAATATCCTGGTTGAATACTTGAGGGTTGTAATAGTTGGAGAAATATAATATATGCACCATAAGTTGTTTCAGGCTTTATTCCACTCTAAGTTGTTTACCACAGTTGATACATACCTCACAGTAAAACCGGTGGGATATGTTCCATTTTTGTGAATCCCCGGCTGGATATTCAACCTTATCTTTATTGTCCCTACTGAAATGCTGTCCCAACCTATATACCACTCCTGATGGGATATACATAGGATATACCATAATATCTAAAGAAAGGCGCCCTTCCATCTATGATCAGAGCCCCCAGTCTAGGCTAAAGCGCATCCTCATAGGTCCAGAATTACTTTATAGTCCGAAGATAAAGTCATTATTTTTACATCAACATAAATATGCTATTTGATACGCATTCGGGTCAAGAGAAATAGCTGATAACGCGGATGATTGTCTCTTATAGTCCAGCTGTGCACAAGCCGGTCTGATAACATGGTACCTTGGGTAGTCTCGCCTGATTGCGATACAATATGTCACTCAATACATATACGTGCTTACAGCTGGCATATTGACTAGGATAGTTAGTTCCCTTTCAGCTTAAGGCTAGCGGACCCAGCTTCCAACACTCAAGCTCCATCAGATTCTTAGGTATATTATATGTCTCAGATAAGGGCAAAAATAGACTACCTGTGTCCGATGCTCTTAATGGAGGCGATTCTAGCTATGGACCAAAGGTGCTCTGTTAACGAGGAAATTGGTTGTTGTGGTGGCTAAGAACTAATATCATGGAATGAGACGGAGAACATCTCTCGGTGAATCTCTTCTAAGTTATCGCAGAATATTCTCTTTGTATGTTTACTGGGAGGTTGGAGACATGTGACTTTTTACTCGGTATGTTTGGTTCGTTGGTTTGGTGGTTGATGCTGCTCACCAGTGACTTAAGTCTGTGGTTTACTTCGGAGTGTTGGTCTATTTTATTTGAGATAATATACTAGTCATTATATTCCCTATTCAAGCTTAATATCGGCGATGGGCATCTCCTTATCTTTTGTAACTTGAGTAACTTGAGTATCGTGGGGTAGTGTGGTAGTAAGAGTACAATTCCTGGTCGGGCAATATATATTAGGGCACGGTGGCTGTGTTTGATAGCAAAGGTTCATAATTACTACCAAGTACTATCAACATGGTAGGAGGAGGACATTGAGATAAATTAATAGATTGCTCTTACTAACAACTTGTTTGGCAGGGGCACTATATCTGCAGTATGACATTTTTGTCCCGAGAGATGAGGGGTTGTCCGTGAACTAGGTAGGGTTTGGATTACGGCTGATAAGACGGATAGAAAGGTAAGATGCCTACACTACGCCCAAACCTGGTAAGTGGCGGATATTTTGCTAGAGTCACGCGCCAGTGGTTTTGGGCCAAGAGATGATATGCCGCAAGCTACATCTGCAAGGCTTCGTGTCACCGTCCACGGTTGTGATTTTAAGGCCTGATCGTGGTGCAGGAACCCTAACGAAAACGCCACCAGGGTTTCAACATTTGAATTTACTTTTTCGAAACTTTACACAATAGATTTTGGACATCCAAAGATCGTTCATTCGTCTATTGTTTTATCGTTTGAAGCCGTTATGTATAGTAGACCCAATATGAGATGTAAGAGAATCGCTGGAGGATAATAAATTCAAAAGGGATATCATTTATGGAGCGCAGTAGCCACCGTCGACAACCAGGTCAGCTCCGGTGGTGTAGCTTGAGGCATCCGAGGCCAGATAGAGGTAGGCACCCTTCAACTCCTCAGGGCGACCCTCACGGCCCATAGGGATCTTGTCCTTCCAGATGTTCTTGGTCTCCTGGGGCACGAAGTTGGAGATTTCGGTCGCGATGTAGCCGGGGGAGACAGTGTTGGCACGGGCATACTTAACCCACTCGACCGAAAGAGATTTGCCTGGTGATATTAGCCTGGCAGACTCCCGGACAGATCACACCCAGAGGGTACTTACAGAGATGGATGACAGCTGACTTGGCAGCGTTGTAGGCAGCTTGCATCTGAGGGAAGTTGACAATGTGGCCGCTCATGGAAGCGGTAGCCACGAAGCTACCATAGGTGAAGTTGGTCAACTTGTTGCCGTTGAGGTCGGTTCCCTCCTCCTTCTGTCTCCTCCAGTGGGCGGCAGCAGCCTTGGCGCAGTAGAAGGTGCCGTCGAGGTCAATGCTGACAACGTCGGTGTAGTGTGAAAGAGGGCCGTCAACCATAGGACCCTGGGTCCAGGGAATACCAGCGTTGGCAATGAAGACGTCTAGACGGCCGTTGAAGTCCTTCACGGTCTGGTCCACGGCCTTCTGCACAGCCTCGGCGTCGGTGATGTTGACCTGGTAAGCCTTGGCTGGATACACTTAGTAAAGGCTCGGGCCACGATAGAGTCACAGGGCGGTTAAGATATGCGATAGGTGAGCAGGAACTTACTCTGAACACCGTATTTGGAGGCGATCTCAGCGGCACGCTCAGGGCACTTATCGTTGGTGTTCCACCACAGGGCAACGTTGGCACCAGCTTCCGCAAGACCGTTGGCGACAGCGAGACCGATACCGGCACCAGCACCAGTAACAATGGCGGTCTTGCCCTTCAGAGAGAACATACTCAGCAAGCTAGGGTGCTCTGGGGGAGTAGTGTTCTCGTGGACGAAGAGACCATTCTGGACGGGGTTGGCAGCCATTATGGTGGGGTTTCCTACAGAAGGGTGGAAATAAACAGGGGAGGATTGAAAAAGGAAGAGGTAATAGGTAGTAGGAGTGGGAAGAGGAAGGGGAAGAGGAAGAGGAAGAGGAAGGAAAGAAAAAACCGAACTGTCTACAGCAGATAGCTATATATAAGCACAGGAGCTGCTTAGATGGAGTAGCTGGGATCGGTGAGAGAGATTATGGCGGGGTGAACATGATTATTCATATTTAGAATTTTTGATTATTGATTTTCTGCTGCCTCTTATGTTGTTCATGCTTTGGCGTCGCATACACACTACAACAAGGTTCAATAGCGACGGACCTTCCACATCTCAACACGTACGTTGTTCCAATGGCTCTGCGAAAGGTCGAGATCTGGGCCCCGGTGGGTTATGACGCTATGCCGCCCCAGACCCAGAGGGACCCAACGTCTTAAAGGCGGGATTCATTGTGACAGGCGTGGGGGGGAGAAAATCCGCGCGAACTTTCATTCCTCGTCCGGGAAGAATTAAATTCGACGGTCCTATGGATTCTTGCCCTGTCACTTTCTATGGTGAGACTGATCAGATTCCACATGTCTTCTTTTTTTCTGTTCAACCGTTTTTCTTCTTCTTTGGGGTTATCTCAGTCTCTCTTTGTCACTTGTGTGGTGGTTAAGTTTGATAGTAAAAAAGTGGATGGCTTTGTTTTTGGTGCCCGGAGAAAGTGGAGAGAGAAGGACGGGAGGGGAGAACTGGAGTGGGTCACTAATCATGTTCTTCCACTCGTCCCTGGATCCCGGTCCCGTGATCCCTGAACTGCCTCAGGCCGCACAGGAAAAACAAATGCCCCTCCTTGCGCGCTTCATTTGCGATGATCATTCCAGCTCCCATACGCGGATTGTCACCCTACATTGCATCTCGCCCCGGCCAATGATTTGTCCTCGATGAGATCCAAGTTTACCCGACAACCGAATGACAACTGGCAGTTGAACGCTAATGTACATACATCAGACCATGCCTTTATCAACAAAACGCAGATGTTTCCAGGAAGTATTCGGGTGGCGAGGGTCTTAACCACTATCGTTAAATTAGTCACTACGGTACGGTACCTTGTTGCCTGAGTCTGTCCCGCCACTCAAATCCGACTATGCGAAAAGTGTACTCTGTTAACTCGCCCTATCTTTGCAAATGATCTCCCCGTGGCCATTGGTCTGCAGGTAATAGATCATGGCCAAATAGCACTGTAGCAGGCTATCGAT